AAAGAATTGTTCTGATAATTACAGCCCACACTTTACGAAGGGCTTTATCTATGTAATTTAATTTTTTTTTTTTTGTCAGTGGAAAGTGTCATGATGCCATTTCTAACCTTAGGTCCCTGGGCGGGACCCGGAAAGAAATGTGTAAACGCCAGAAATCAAAGAATCTGAATTGCTTGGCATCTATTCTGCGAAATGTATTCTCGATTTGAGGACGTGAAACACCTATAATGCAAGATTTCCGGTTGAATAGGCTGACCGTGCTAACGAAGACAACAACAACAACAACAACAACAATAATAATAATAATAATAATTTTTTATGAAATTGACAAGTGAGAAATGTTACGATGCCTTTTCTGACCTTCGCTGGTCGAAACTTAAAAAATGGGGATACACCAGATATCAAAGGAAATAAAATAATAATAATGATAATAATAATAATAATAATAATATATCCCATGACCCCAGAAGCCTAAATTGCTTGGCATCTATTCTGAGAAATGTGCTCTCGATTTGTGGATGTGAAACACCCATAATGCAAGATTTCCGGTTGAAAAGGCTGACCGTGCTAACGAAGACAATAATAATAATAATAATAATAATAATAATAATTTTTTATGAAATTGATCAGTGGGAAATATCATGAAACCCTTTCTCACCTTAAGTCTCTGACTGAGAACGGAAAGGAAATGTGTAAACAACAGAAACCCATTGAAATACTAAATATAATCATCCATTTTTCAAGAGTCTCTATATCGACCCCCCAAAAAAAAAAAAAAAAACGATCTATTATGATAATAAAATAACGCTGCGACGAAACAGAATATGTCTAAATAAACTAGTATGTTTTCTCATAAGTTATCGCATTTATCTATTAATATGGAAACCCTTACTGGGCAATGCTCTTGCGATTAAATAATATTTTGATCTGATCAGATCACGCTAGTAGACTTAATCAGCGCGACGAGTAAGCGAAGCATAAGATATTGTGCGTTGTTTAATAATAACGTCATTACCTTACGTAACGGTGACCTCATGGACATGGCATTTTATATACCTCGCCAGGGTTTTCAACAGAATTACGTCTTTCAACGTCGCACGGCATGAGTTTTACAAGTCGAAACGCAAGACGGATGCTGATGTCACAATCCATTTGGCACGCTTTCTGACGGCTCATCTTGTGATAGCGGATTATCTAAATCCCTGTAATAGTAAACGAGCACCTTTGATCGACCGTCTCATCGACTCTCTGTGGGGCAGAAGATGACTTGTCTGCTATATTTGTTCGTCAAGAACTCTCAGTAGTCATTCTTTGACATCAAGAATGGCGGTGGGCGCGGTTTTGCAACGACCGACTCCGTATTACGTCGACGCAACTTCCTCCGCTTGATGTCATCCCGACCGTATACGGATCTCTTGACAAGCGCAAAGACATATCGAATTGCTTTTGAAAGTCGTTCAGCCATAGGGAATATTTTTGCCATGACTGTATTTATGAAATTGCTTTCTATATCCAACACGCTGCATTTGAAACAAGGAAAGAAATCGACATTTGATATTATCGTTAATCTTTCATTTGTACATGAGACTCAATGCTTTTATGCTCCAAGTAATTAGTCAAGAAACTGTTTTTTTCTATTAGGACTAATATCGTCATCTTTGATCGGTTACGGCCATATCACGTTAAAACAACGGTTATCGTATGATCACCGAAGTTAAGCAACATCGAGCCTGGTCAGTACCTCAGAGTTTGGTTCGTTATATTTATTTACGTGTAAATACCCTAGGGAAACGTATGAGTCTACTTCTCCACCAGCTATGGGTTAATTACTAAAACTTGTATAAAAAAATCATCATTATCACCGTCAAAATTTTTAAAATCTAAAAATAATTTCTGTCTTTAAATAATCGACAAAAATGAATAATAATAGTTGGCAATAATGGTTCACGTCAAAAAAGATGAAAATGTAAGTCAATACCAGTCAAAAATTATTAATAATGGCGGACAATGCTTCATGTAATAAATGATGAAGATGAAAGTAAATACAAGTTAAACATTAACAATGGGTGACAATACATCATCTTAAATAGCTTCATGTTGAAAGTAAATACCAGTAAAAATTTAACAATAACTAGCAGTAGAGCCCGGCGTTGCCCGGGGATGTAGCAGTAAGAGATAGATCGAGTATCGACGATCATAAAGGCTGAAAAATAAAATTGACAAAGATTATTGTTTAAGGTTGACGGACACGCATGTCTTAATTAGTTTTTTTTTTTTATGAATTGGTCAAGCCCAAACTCAAACAAAAACATTGTTTTCAATCGTTATGAGTCTACCGATTGAATAGAATTTTATTAGAAACAATTGTCTTGTAAATGGAATTTTAAAGCATTCTGAATGTAAAAATAAAAGAAAAAGTGTGCAAGACAATAAGAAACACTACCTGCCAAAAAAAAAAGTAAAGTTTTGTTGAAATCGGTTGAAAATGTAGGAAATCCGATCCCATATATAAACGAACACACACACACACACACACACACACACACACACACACACACACACACACACAACCTGGGTTTTATAATAAGTATAATTCGATATGAGTTGTCCCCCTTTCATTCTCGCGATGCCTCTTAATTTTGTTTTCAAATTGATTTCGTGCAAAAACAATTGTGTTTTTTCCAATTTTTGGCGCTGTCAGACCCACCACAAGGTAATTTTACGTAGTCCTGTGAAGTTGAAATCGGTTGAAAAATGTAGGAAATCCGATCCAATATATAAACGTACACACACACACACACACACACACACACACACACAAACACACACACATACACAAAAACAAACAAACACACAAACAAACACAATCACACAATCTGCGTTTTATAATAAGTAAGATTTAAATTAAAAAGTATGGCTTAAAATGCTTCATCTAATATGCAAAATAAATTTAATACTACTGGTACCTGATACTACGAATTTCAAAAAGAAGAAACAAATATGGCGCGAACTCTATTCTCCCGCGTGGTGTAGAGTTCTTTTAACATTCAGTCAAACCTAGAGACAAAAGTGACGCGAGTTCAATTCTCACCTAGTGTTCATCTTTGGTTTCCCATCATGCATTTATTGATGGTCACGTGACATTTTTGAGAAAAAGCCACTAAACTATAAACTAAATATAATAACCCATTTTTCAAGGGTTTCTATATTGAGTCTACATTGTTTGGCGGTGAAATCATTCTTCGAAATTTACTCTTGATAAGCCGTAGACAACGAATCAATCAATCATTTTACAAACACGTAGATAAATGTTAAAAAAAATTCTCCGACATGTCCTCAGACTATACACTTCTCTTTACGCCCTTACAGTGATTTCAATCATTGACGCTCTGTCCTGGGTCTTTTAAGGAGTGAACACTAGTAAAAAGTCTCGTGTAGACATATTTAAATGAAAAGTACAGGACTCCATTAAATGATATCGCACACGACCTGAAGAGACTGGGGAGTTAGATAAAGTTTTTGAAACACAGTATTGAGAACGGAAAGCTAGATATTGAATCCGACATTAGAGAGGGAGAAGCAGAGGAAGATACCAATCAGATATGGATAAGAACTGCAGCTAATTAGTAGAATTTATATCAGGAAATTATTATTATATTCCAAATAAATATTTCCTGGCTTAAGAATTCCTTACAAGTATTTTTTTAAAAAAATTCGCCTATCGCCCGGTTCACACTCCTTCTCCGTCTTTTGATCAGAGGTAAATGTTTATCCCTTGTTTTCTGTTTATAATTCTCTTTCACTCCCAGTAGCCCCTTGCGTCTTAGTGGCATTATTACTTTGCATATGGTGAAATGATTAATAAATAAATAAATTGCAACATGTTGAGCATTAAAAAAAAGTAATCAATCTGTTATAGTGGAACACACCTATTCTATAGTTAATAGACTCTCCCACCTATAATAAGTAGGAGTAGTAAGAGTAAGGTGGGGGGGGGTCGGTCTGAGTTCAGTCTGAAGTCGGACGACCGGCTGACCGGTTGAACTCTCTGCCTTCGGGCGGGGAGGAACCCGAACGAGGCTACGCCGAAGGGCGGAGGCTCTTTCGGGGAGGTAAACCGACCCTGAACCCGTTTATACGGGTTTTAAAAGGGCATATTTTTGGCCGAGCTCCCGGGCTCGGAGATCCCACGTTAAACCGGCATTGTGCCACATGATGCCCTCGTGGGGGGGTGACTGAATATCGCTCAGGGAGTTGGTCAGTCAGTCGATGCCGGACGACCGTTAGTCGGATACTAAAGTATCAGCGACCACCACTAGATTTCTCTGCGTCATTACCTATTATATCAAGTTCCTGACGATTTGTACGTCGAACCTATTTTAGGACCGACTTAGTACAAATACAAGCCTCCACTGTGAAACCACTCCATCACACTATCAATTAATCCCAAATTTGTTGTCATTATTATTATTAATTATCTCGACGTTTCGGCCTTCTTCAGGTCTTAGTTGATCCTGGTAACCTTGAGTGACTTTTGAACTGAGAACTTTATTTATTCTATGGCGGTAGATTGTTATTATTCCGCTGTCAATGTTTAGGGATAGTCTCTTTGATCTGACTAATTATTGCTCGCCATTCTCATTCTATGTTCGGAGTCTCTCGGTTATTGTCTCGTGGGACAATCCCGAAGCTAGAATTTGGAGCCTTAATTGGTTCTTTTATCGTTTCTCTTACCTCCTCTGCAACATTGCTGTTGAAAGCTAGTTCCGCAATTGAAAGTGCTGGGTTGAGAATTTCGCGGCATAGTAATCTGAGGTAAACTTCTTGGGTAGGATTCAAAACCTGGAAACCTGTTCATCGATGGTTTCGTTTTATGGCTTATCAACTCGCTGTGAATTATTTAATACAGAGGAAACTGAAGGAGACAACGAAGAGAAGGAAGAAGAGGCAATGGGAAGCAAGAAGAGACAGCAAGAAACAAGAAGATTCAATGGGAAACATCATGAAGAAATAAAAAGCAAGAAGAGGCAACAAGAAGCAAGAATTGGCAACGAAAAGCTGCAAGAAGCAAGGATATGCAACGATAAGAAGAGGCAGCAAGAAGCAAGTAGATGCAAGGAGAAACAAGTAAAGTCAATAAGAAGCAAGAAGAAGCAGCGAGAAGCAAGAAGAGGATCCGAGAAGCAAGAAGAGGCAAAGAGAAGCAAGAAAAGACAGCGAGAAACAAAAAATAGGCAGTGTGAAGCAAGAAGGTTTAATGGGAAGCAACAAGAAGAAACAAAAAGCAAGAAGATGCAACGGGAAGCAAGAACAGGCAATGAGAAGCAAAAAAAAAAAAAAACAAGAAAATGTAAAGAGAAATAAGTAAAGACAGCGTGTCTCAACTAGAAGCTGAGCCAAGCAACTATAGCATTTCAAATTCAAGTTGGCAATAATCAGACTAAACAATTTCAAGTTGGACAAACCAATTTCAAATTGAGACTAAACAATTTCAACTTGGTACTAAAGAATTTCAAATTGATACTAAACAATTTCCGATTGGTACTAACCAATTTCAAATTAAGACTAAACAATTTCAAGTTGATACTAAATAATTTCAAATTCATCCTAAATAATTTCAAGTTGTACTCACCGAATTCAAATTGAGACTAAACAGTTTCAAGATGGTACGAACCAAATTAAAATTGATATTAAAACAATTTCAAGTGGGTACTAACCAATTTCAAATTGATACTAAACAATTTCAAGTTGGTACTAATTAATTTCAAATTGATATTAAACAATTTAAAGTTGTCCTAACCAATTTCAAATTGATACTAAACAATATCAAGTTGTACTAACTAATTTCAATTAGATACTAAACGATTTCAAGTTGGTACTAAACAATTTCAAAATGATACAAAATTTTCATGTTGGCAAACATATTTTGAAAAAAACAAATGAGGCATAACAATGAAACTGAACTAGCCAATACTAACTCATCAATTATGGAATATCAATATACTCGTGCATGTCAAAAATTCACATCCTCAAGATCCCAGGCTGGCTGTATAAATCGCTAAACCTGTGCGAGCACACCAGTACATTTAGGCAGGTTTATTAGAGGTATATTATTTGTAATCACTTGCTCAAGTTGAGCACTTCGAAATTCAGTTTGCGTTGCATTTCCCCGTCTTTCGCCTGCAAGAACTCAAGGAAGCTTCAAAGCTACCTCGGATTTTACACTAGCCTTAAGAATTGACCATGCTTCTTCCGTCGACGTTTGTTTTTGTTGATATCGCTATTCGTATTCTCCGGCTCATTGTAAACTTTTTGAGTATGAATAATAGTCCATTCCAATGTTGTCGAACACACTGGAAACTCACAACCAGATTGAACCTCTGCTATATCAAAGCTGACAGCTGCTTCAGCGTTATTCATGGGTTCTCCTCCACAAACTATTCAATAAATGCCTCCACTAAACAATTTCAAGTTGTATTAACTAATTTCAAATTGATACTAAACAAATTCAAGCTGGTACTAAATAATTTCAAATTGATACGAAACAATTTCAAGTGGGTAGTAACCAATTTCAAATTGATACTAAACAATTACAAGCTGGTACTAATTAATTTCAAATTGATACTAAACAATTTCAAGTTGTATTAACCAATTTCAAATTGATACTAAACAAATTCAAGCTGGTACTAATTAATTTCAAATTGATACTAAACAATTTCAGGTTGTATTAACCAATTTCAAATTGATACTAAACCATTACAAGCTGGTACTAATTAAGAAAGAGAGAAAGCAACGAGAGACAAGAAAAGGCCAATGTTTCATTATAAGGAAAGAGTTAATATTACCGTTATTATTAGGGAATGTGTAAAACAGATATTACACTCTGATCTCACCCTAATGGTCAGAGATTTGATTATTATTATTCAGCACCAATTTTAGAACGCCGCAATCCACCATGTTGCTTTTCGGGTTCATGACGTGTAATTATCCATCGGTATGCTGTGGATTTTTTAATTCCAAGACTGTCCTCAAGACTTCGGCAGCCTCCATTAGTATTGTATGTTACTCTTATTTGCTTGTTCAAATCAGCCGACTTGTCTTTCTTAATATAATTACCACCTCGATTACCAACAGCTGCCATGACAATCGTTTCAGGTGTGGAGAGGCGAAGAATGAAATATTTTATTAGTTAATTAAAACCACGTAATCGTGAGTAATTTAATCAGTATTCATATATGGTGTGTTTAAATTGATGATGCGTGTCGTGAATTGCTGTTCTTGGACATGTAGATTTACACCTGGGTGGTACCAACTTGAAATTGTTTAGTCTCAATTTGAAATGGATAAGTCTAATTTGAGATTGTTTAGTACCAACATGAATTTGATTAATCCAACTTGAACTTGATTATTTCCAACTTGAACTTGCAATGGTACAGAGTCAGCGAGAAGTAACGGAAGCAAAAGGAAACAAGTAGAGGTGAAGAGAAGCAAGTATCAGCTGCGAAAATAAAAAGATGAAACGATAAAGCAACGAGAAACAAGAAAAGGTACAGCAAGAGGCAAGAAGAAGCAAGAACATGCGACGAGAAGCAAAGAGAAACAAAAAGAAGCGGCGAGCAACAGCAAATAGGAAGAAGAGACAGGGGAGGCAATGAGAAGCAAGAAGATACATCAAGAAACAACGATAGGCAACGCGAAGCAAGAAAATACAGCGAGAAGCAAGTAGAGTCAGCGAGACGCAACGGGAACAAAGGAAAGCAAGTAGAGTTAACGAGAGGCAAGAATCGACAGCGATAATACAAACAGATGAAACAAGAAAGCAAGAAGATGCAGCGAAGAGAAAGAAGATGCAACAAAATTCAAGGAGAGGTAAGAAAAGGTAAAGAGAAGCAAGGAAAGAAAGCAAGAAGATGTATTGAAAAGCAACGAGAAGCAAGAAGAGGCAACGAGAAGCAAGGAAGGGCAGCGATAAGAAAGTAGAGGGAGCGAGGAGAAAGAAGATGTTACGTAAAGCAAGGAGAAGCAAGAAAAGGGGAGAGAAACAAGTAAAGGAAACAAGAAGATGTATCGAAAAGCAACGAGAAGCAAGAAGAGGCAACGAGAAGCAAGGAAAGTCAATGAGAGGCTACGAGAGTCAAGAAAAAGCAAAGAGAAGCAAGAAAAGACAGCAAGAAGATACATCGAAAAGCAACGGAAAGCAACGAGAAGAAAGAAGAGGCAACGTGAAGCAAGAAAATGCAGCGAGAAGCAAGTAGACGCAGCGAGACGCAACGGGAACAAAGGAAAGCAAGAGGCAGTAACGAGAAGCAAGAAACGGTTCGATAATGCAAACAGATAAAAACGAGAAAGCAAGAAAATGCAGCGAGAAGAAAGAAGATGCAACGAAAATCAGAGCGAAGCAAGAAAAGAAAGCAAGAAGATGCATTGAAAAGCAACGGGAAGCAAGGAAAGGCAGCCATAAGCAAGAAAATGCAGCGATGAGAAAGAAGATGCAACGAGAATCAACGAGAGGTAACGAGAGGCAACAAGAGGCAAGGAAAGGCAAAGAGAAGCAAGGAAAGACAGCAAGAAGATACATCGAAAAGCAACAGGAATCAACGTGAAGCAAGACGAGGCAACGAGAAGCAAGGAAAGGCATCGATAAGCAAGAAGAGGCAGCGAGGAGAAAGAAGATGCAACGAGAAGAAACAAGAAGAGACAAGAGGCAAGAAAAGGCTAAAAGAAGCAAGGTAAGACAGCAAGAAGAAAGGCAACGGTAAGACAGCCTGGAAAAGCAACGGGAAGCAACTAGAAAGAAGAAGAGGCAACGATAAGCAAGGAAAGGCAGCGACAAGCAACAAGAGTCACCGGGAAATAAAAAGAGTCAACACGAAACAACAGGAATCTAAAGAAAGCAATAAGATAGTTAATTACTGCATGCAAAAAGAAGCAGTGATAAACAAGAAGGAACAAAATGAGGTAACGGGATCATTATGGATGAGGAGAGCAGAGATTACATTTTGATCCCAGCCCCTTAACGAGGTAGTGATGAAAAGCATAACTCTATGAAAGGCCAATGTTTCATTATAAGGAAACAGTTAATATTACCATTATTATTAGGGAATGTGTAAAACAGATATTACACTCTGATCCCACCGTGATGGTCAGAGATTGATTGTTTACCTGCCCGTCCCCAAAGAATGATATGGCGCAAATCACTATCATGCTGACATCGATATCAGTCCAACCTCTCTTAGTGCAATGTGGAAAGTGCTTCTGCAGGAGGGAACAGATACTCTACTTTGATCACAGCCAGTTAGCCAGGGTGTGGAAATAATCATGAAATTCTTGTTCCAAGTAAATTTGTATTTACAATTTCGTATGTAGTGGCTGGGCAAAAATATGTCAAATTACGTCGGGGCTACTGGAGGTTCTCGAACGGACCAAGAATGTTTGGTCATTTTATCAGATCTTTGGAAGTGGATCTAGTCGAGAAACAGGAATGGTTTGTTAGAGACAAAGAAAAGAGTGATGACCTGTTATTCAGTCCCCCCCACCATGTGGTACTGAATGCTAGGCAATCACCTCACAGACGAAGAAGAGACTTGAGGCAACAGAAATAGAGATCTACCGAAGGGTGTTGAGGATGCTATGTACGGAGCGTGTAAGCAAGGAAGGCATTTTAAGGAAAATGAAAACAAAAAGACATATATATTTAGCATCAGAAAGCGCCAGATAAAGTTTCTAGGGCACTTAATAAGGAAAGGGGGCTGAGAAAATTTAACACTCACAGGAGAGATTGATATCAAAGGAATAAGCAGTAGTAAACTAAATTGATCAGATTATATGATCGGATGGCAGAACAGGAAAATGAGGAGGTTGGTAAAAAGACAAATATTGTTAAAAACTACAATGTATAGCTGTGGAGAGCCATGATCGCCTATGTACTGAAGGCACACGACACATAGACGAAGTAGAATGAGCTTGAGTAATTGGATGGCGGAACAAGGTTATAGGAGAAATAACAAAAAGACAAAATTTATTAAGAGTTACGAAGCACAGGAAGTTGTGGAGAGCCATGATCACCTAAGTCCTGAAGAAACACAGCACATAGAAGAATAATAATGAGTAAATGGATAGCGGAACAAGGTTTTAGGAAAAATAACAAAAAAACAAAATTTATTAAGAGCTGCAAAGGAAAGGAAATAGTGGAGAGCCACGATCGCCTATGTACTGAAGGGACACGACACATAGATGAAGAAGAATGAGCTTGAGTAAATGGATGGCGGAACAAGTTTTTAGGAGAAATAACAAAAAAGACTAAATTTATTAAGAGCTACAAAGGAAAGGAAATAGTGGAGAGCCATGATCGCCTATATACTGAAGGGACACGACACATAGAAGAAGAAGAATGGTGAGTAAATTGATGGCGGACAGGTTTTAGGAGAAATATCAAAAAGGCAAAATTTATTTTTTTTTTTAAAGGGACAAGCACATTTTTTTTTAAGATTTTTAAGCGTTCGTTTTATACAATTCTAGCTATTCGTTTTTTTCTTTTTCCTTCCGTTTTTTTCCCTGTTTTAATGACTTCACTTAGATAGAAAAGCGGCTGCTCTCCATTCTTCGATGTTTCAAAGGAGAGTAATAAATAAACAAATTTTGTCCGTGCGCCATAACTTGTCTCTTCCATTCTGTTTGTGGCGGTCTGGGGTGGGGGGTGATCAGTTCGGGTGAAAATGTCATATTTGTTCCAAGTGACTGGTATATGACTTCTGAGGCTTCGATAAATTTTCCTGACAGCGGATTGTAATGAAATAAAGAACTCGTCTCTTTATTAAGACATCCCATAATACTCAATGCAAGTCGAACCAAAACATCCTTTCAGGCGTTCCATCCTCTCCCCACCCACCCAAAATCCACTACCCTACACGGCTTTTGCCCGAGTAATAATCAGATATTTAAATTCTTTTGAAGCAGAATGTTTTCGGGACAGCCAAAAACTATTCATCTTGAAAATCTTTTCCTTGGTAACGGGTTTCTTTTCCGCTTGTAACCTGATCCTCGGGAGCACGTGGTAAGAATTGAGTCAGCAAAGAGTTTCCGTACGGAGAGTTAGAATTCGGGGTTCTGTCGATGACGTCATTTTTTGAGCTAATACCTTTGAAGAGAAGGCGTGAAGCTAAAACACCCTGATTTCCGATAATCAGATTGACCGCGATCTTTTAACAACTGGTGAAAATGATAAAACAGCCGTAATGCTCCAATCTTAAGTGTTCTTAATTAACGTCATTCCGTTAATCTGAGATGAAAGTGGAGATGCAAAGACAGTCTTATTCCTTCCCACTTGCATCCCTTCTGTCTTTCTTTCATTCGTTCATTCTTTCATTCGTTCATTCTTTCATTCGTTCATTCTTTCATTCGTTCTTTTCTTTCCCTTTTCTTCTAAAATTTTTTTCTTTTGTATTTAACTCTTCTTTCTTAATTTTAGTGTTCCCAGTTGCTTCCGCTCTTTATGTCTTTCATTCTTTTTTTTCATTCATTCATTCATTCATTCATTCTTTCTTTCTTTCTTTCTTTCTTTCTTTCTTTCTTCTAAATTGTGTTATTATTTGCTTCTTTCTTTCTTTCTTTCTTTCTTCTAAATTGTGTTATTATTTGCTTCTTTCTTTCTTTCATTTTCTTTTCTTTCTTTTTCTTCTAATTTTATTCTTTTGTATTTGTTTAACTCTTTCTTTCTTTTAGTGTTCCCAGTTGCTTCCGCTCTTTATGTTATGTCTTTTTCTTTTTCATTTTTCATTCTTTCTTTCATTCTTTCTTCCTTTCTTTCTTTCTTTCTTTCTTTCTTTCTTTCTTTTTCTAAATTGTATTTATTATTTGCTTCTTTCTTTTTTCTTTCTTCTAAATTGTGTTATTATTTGCTTCTTTCTTTTCTTTCATTTTCTTTTCTTTCTTTTTCTTCTAATTTTTTTCTTTTGTATTTGTTTAACTCTTTCTTTCTTTTAGTGTTCCCAGTTGCTTCTGCTCTGTATGTCTTTCATTCTTTTTTCATTCAGTCTTTCATTCATTTATTCATTCTTTTCTTTTTTCTTTCTTTCTTTCTTTTTTCTAAATTGTGTTATTATTTGCTTCTTTCTTTCTTTTTTCTAAATTGTGTTATTATTTGCTTCTTTCTTTCTTTTTTCTTTCATTCTTTCTTTCTTTCTTTCTTTCTTTCTTTCTTTCTCTCTTTCCTTCCCTTTGCAATTCTTACTTTCTTTCTGTCTACTGTAACATTCAGTGTTTTTCCTCCTTATATCTTCCTTTTTTTTCTATTTTTCGGTTCCCACACTTTATCTCCTTTCAAACTTGAGTATGTCTTTCTTTCTTTCTTTCTTTCTTTCTTTCTTTCTTTCTTTCTTTCTTTCTTTCTTTCTTTGGTTTTCCTTTTTGATTCCCCCGAGTCATTTTCTGCTTTATTTTCTGATTATTTCCTTTCCTTTCTTTTCTCCCCTTCTAAAATGATTCTTTCTTTTTATTCCTTTTACATTACAACAGTTCTTTCTTTCTTTTTTCTTTACTTCTTTCTTTATTTCTTTTTTCTTTTTTTCTTTCTTTCTTTCTTTCTTTCTTTCTTTACTAATATGTGTTTTTCTTTGATGTTTTTTTTGTTTCGTTCTTTCTTTCTTAATGCATTTATTATTCTTACCTGTCAATTCCACCTTTCCTGTATTTCGTCCCTTATTTCTCTTCTTTTTGTTCATTTTTTCTATTCTGTTTATACAGTTTATCTCCTTTGTAACTTTTGAGTTTGTTCTTTTCGTTCGTTCGTTCGTTCGTTCCTTTCTTCCTTCCATCCTTCCTTCCTTCCTTCCTTCCTAACTCTTAAATTGTGTCACATTTTTCTTTGTGTCTTTCTTTTTTTCTCACCGATACTTTGGTTTCGTTTTTTTGCTGCTCTTTAAGGGAAGCGATTTTCATTCAATATTCCATGTATCGTAATTTCTTCCATTTTCATTTCTGATTTTTTTTTATTTACATAAATTTATTCCTCTTTTGCTCCTGTTGCAAAGTTTTTTTCTTTCTCTTTCATTCATTTTCTCTTTCTTCATTCTTTTCTTTCTTTCTTTTCTCTTCCTTCCTTTCTCTTCTTTCTTTCATTCTCTCTTTCCTGCTTTCTCTTCTTTCTTTCATTCTCTCTTTCTTCCTTTCTCTTCTTTCTTCCTTTCTCTTCTTTCTTTCATTCTCTATTTCTTCCTTTCTCTTCTTTCTTTCATTCTCCCTTTCTTCCTTTCTCTTCTTTCTTTCATTCTCTCTTTCTTCCTTCCTCTTCTTTCATTTCATTTATTCCTTCCGTTTCTATATTTAGCTCTTCAGTAATTTCAATCATTCATTTTCTCACCGTTTCTGAATCTTTCTTTCTTTTTTCATTAAATGAAATGTACTTTCTTTTTTCGTTTTAACATATAACTTTCTTTTTATTCATTTAACTGGTCTCTCCAAATAAATGAAAAGATTTTTTTATTATTTTATTCTTTTAAGCATTCATTGTTTATTTCTTTCTGTTTTCCTTTCATTCTGTTTCCTAACATACGTCTTCTTTCTTTATATTCATGCAATTGTATTTTCTTTTTCTTTCTTATTTACTTTCTTTCGTTTTTTCTAACACGTCTAAAGAAAGCACAGTTAAACGAATAGAAATTCGTTTAACTGTGCTTTCTTTTTATTAATGATCCCTGTAACGTGGCTCTTTCTTTCTTTCTTTCTTTCTTTTTTTCTTTCTTTCTTTCTTGCATCCATATAAATTGTCTGACGTTCTTTCTCTCTTTCTTTCTTTCTTTCTTTCTTTCTTTCTTTCTTTCTTTCTTACATCCATATAAATTGTCTGACGTTATTTCTTTCTTTCTTTCTTTCTTACATCCATATAAATTTTCTTTCTTTCTTTCTTTCTTTCTTTCTTTCTTTCTTTCTTTCTTTCTTTCTTTCTTTCTTACATCCATATAAATTGTCTGACGTTCTTTCTTTTCTTTCTTTCTTTTTCTTTCTTTCTTTTTCTTTCTTACATCCATATAAATTTTCTGACGTTCTTTCTTTCTTTCTTTCTTTTCTTTTTCTTTCTTTCTTTTCTTTCTTTCTTACATCATATAAATTTTCTGACGTTATTTCTTTTCTTTCTTTCTTTCTTACATCCATATAAATTGTCTGACGTTATTTCTTTCTTTCTTTCTTTCTTTCTTTCTTTCTTTCTTTCTTTCTTTCTTTCTTTCTTACATCCATATAAATTTTCTGACGTTCTTTCTTTCTTTCTTACATCCATATAAATTGTCTGACGGTATTTCTTTCTTTCTTTCTTTCTTTCTTTCTTTCTTTCTTTCTTACATCCATATAAATTGTCTGACGTTATTTCTTTCTTTTTTCTTTCTTTCTTTCTTTCTTTCTTACATCCATATAAATTGTCTGACGTTCTTTTCTTTCTTTCTTTTCTTTCTTTCTTTCTTTTCTTTTTCTTTCTTTCTTTCTTTCTTTCTTACATCCATATAAATTGTCTGACGTTATTTCTTTCTTTCTTTCTTTCTTTCTTTCTTACATCCATATAAATTTTCTGACGTTCTTTCTTTCTTTCTTTTTTCTTTCTTTCTTTCTTTCTTTCTTTCTTTCTTTCTTTCTTTCTTACATCCATATAAATTGTGTGACGTTCTTTCTTTCTTTCTTTCTTTCTTTCTTTCTTTCTTACATCCATATAAATTTTCTGACGTTCTTTCTTTCTTTCTTTCTTTCTTTCTTTCTTTCTTTCTTTCTTACATCATATAAATTTTCTGACGTTATTTCTTTCTTTCTTTCTTTCTTTCTTACATCCATATAAATTGTCTGACGTTATTTCTTTCTTTCTTTCTTTCTTTCTTTCTTTCTTCCTTTCTTTCTTTCTTTCTTACATCCATATAAATTTTCTGACGTTCTTTCTTTCTTTCTTACATCCATATAAATTGTCTGACGGTATTTCTTTCTTTCTTTCTTTCTTTCTTTCTTTCTTTCTTTCTTTCTTTCTTTCTTACATCCATATAAATTGTCTGACGTTATTTCTTTCTTTCTTTCTTTCTTTCTTTCTTTCTTTCTTTCTTTCTTACATCCATATAAATTGTCTGACGTCCTTTCTTTCTTTCTTTCTTTTTTTCTTTCTTTCTTTCTTTCTTTTTTCATCCATATAAATTTTCTGACGTTATTTCTTTCTTTCTTTCTTTCTTTCTTTCTTTCTTTCTTTCTTTCTTTCTTTCTTTCTTCCTTTCTTACATCCATATAAGTTGTCTGACGTTATTTCTTTCTTTCTTTCTTTCTTACATCCATATAAATTTTCTGACGTTCTTTCTTTCTTTCTTTCTTTCTTTCTTTCTTTCTTTCTTTCTTACATCCATATAAATTTTCTGACGTTATTTCTTTCTTTCTTTCTTTCTTTCTTTCTTTCTTTCTTTCTTTCTTTCTTTCTTACATCCATATAAGTTGTCTGACGTTATTTCTTTCTTTCTTTCTTTCTTATATCCATATAAATTTTCTGACGTTCTTTCTTTCTTTCTTTCTTTCTTTCTTTCTTTCTTTCTTTCTTACATCCATATAAATTGTCTGACGTTATTTTTCTTTTCTTTCTTTTTTCTTTCTTTTTTCTTTCTTTCTTACATCCATCCATATAAATTTTCTGACGTTCTTTCTTTTCTTTTCTTT